AAATTTACAATGTCAACTTATAAAAATAATAAAATTTAAAAATTAAATAAAATAATTTTTTAAGGTCAGTGTACTACTGTATGAATTAATTATGTAACATTAATATCAAAAACATAGTAATCGAAAAGTAACCATTATTTTATAGTATATTGTTAATTTGCATATAAAAACAACAAAGAAATAAATATTTAAAAATATAAGTTGAGTATAAGTGTTTTTTTTTTAAATCATAGTAACAATATTTAAGGAGTTATACATCAAAGTTAATAAAGAACTTTTGTTTCGTTGTCCAAGTATGCCACATTTTTAAAATAACTTTTTTATTTTATTTAGTCGAATTACTTATGAGTTAAAACAGTTATAGTATATGAAGAAATAAATTAACAGATGCTTACTTTTCAATTTCATTTCTGTCTTGGACTTCTACTGTAGCCATGTCGTGGCCTTTGAAGACGTATTTGTATAAATACTTTACGCTCTTCACAGTAGAACACACCTCTACGTTGATGTGTGCATCGTACTTGGCCAGCAGGTACGGGTTGTAGGCAACTACAAACTCGTTGCTGACCTGGTGTCCCCTCACGAGGGCCTCGATCCCGTTGTCTCGTCGACGGTACGTTGGGTACCCGCCGTCAGAAACGTAAACTGTCTCTGCACTATATGCCTTTGGATACTTCTTTAGACATATCCCTTCAGCCATACACGGACTGTCGCGGTTCAGTTGCCCACATGGTCCGTGTATCATGTGACTCGTCACAGCTGTGAACAGTCTCTGATTGTTCTCGTCTGCTGGGTCTGGCAGTTCAGCGCACACGACATCGTCTACATCCTCGGCTGTGAGCAGCTTGTTGCCATCGCTAAGGATGATGAGTATGTGTGCGTGTGGCAGACCGCGTTTTTGAAACTCAACAGTGTAAACATATGCGTCTACGTTACCAAACACTCTGTTCTCAGTTATGTCTGACATGAGCTGCTTGAGTTTGGCGTGAAACACTCTTGCCTCCAGTTCGGGTCTGTCACCTGCAACTGTATGATTTCCTTTGTTGCTGGCGATCTCAGGCCACCCAGGATTGCAAGTGAAGGTAATGAACAGGTCGGGTTTGCCGTACTTGCGCACTATGGTCATTGCATCCTGGTAGCTCTGTTTCATGTAACGCGGACCTCCAGTGAAGGTCGACGGCAAAATCATTCTGCGTCCAACCGGGGCAGGTTCTTCGATGTGCAACTGCTGGTTGATGTGATCCACCAGGCCCTGATACGCTTCGGCAAACAGGGCTCCCTGATTGCGTTCAATGAACCGTATGTTGTTTGTTTCCATTCGTACGTATTGTTCACAGACGTACTGTTGAAACAGATAACCAGCACGGTGTACCAGACTGAATTTTTGATGCCTGTGGTCGTTAGTTCCTTCGTAACGAATGGCCAGACGGTAACACACAAATTCTCTGATAGTGTTGCGTGTGCGCACAGCATTTTGCCGGCCACCATCATCTTGTCGCAGTTCGAAATGCCAACCCAGTTCACCGTGTGGGAACAACAGGGGGTATAGCATTGGATCTGCGTGCTGGGAGCCGTATGATAAGTTTTGCATCCTGTGTTGTGGGTTCACTGGATTCGAGTCGAACACCACCAGGTCGAGGTTTCTCGGCGGTTGGCCATTGTTTCCAGCAAACACGACCGAAACTTCGTTGACTTGATTTGGCGGTAGATTGTACCGCCTTGGGTCACTGTTTGGGTCAGCCACCAAGTGCATGGTGACTCTCCTGGGTTCCACCAGAGGATCGGCGTTGGCAATTCTCTGTTCCTCCAGCCACACTGCTCTCATGTTGCTGAACGCCATGGCAAATGGATTGGTTTGCCTCAGCATCGTGTCCAAGTCTGTAAGCACAGTCTCGTTCAGCTCACCCTGGTGGTTCTGGTTCATGCGAACCCGGTTTGCTTCCCCAGATTCAATGAAATAGAGCTCACAGTAACTTGGGGGTCTGTCGTCGTTTCTGACGACGTCGTTGGTGATCCTTCGATACACCTGCCCGTGTACAGTGAACACTCTCGGTCCGCGACCAGGCAATCTTCTCTGATTGAGGTCAGTGGAGAAGGCGGCAAACGCAAGAGTGTTGTTGTACCGTCTTATGTTTCTACGGAACTGGGTTGCTATCCGTGAGTCGTCTACCAACAAACTCTGTAGCAATTCAGGTGCTTGTTGCAACCGACGGGGTCCTTCAGGAATCACCATCTGATTGTTGTTGCAACACAATGTGAAATGACCCCTCAAAGTGCGTTCACAGAAATATGAATAAAATAATTAACAGAAGTGTTCAGTTAGATGAGAAATTGTAGGCATAACCAGAATATAGCAAAATAGATCAAACTGTACACTAGGCATAACTATGTAATCTATGATATATTCAAATCTATTTTTGTTAATCGCACTTTAGTTACAAGTACAAGTTGTTTTGTAACTGATACAACTTGGATAGTGCATACTACAATTAAATACTTTTACCAGAATATTTGGTGTCTCTAATAAATCATACCTGTGTGTATAATTAAATACGCTGTCAAAATTACCAATTGGAAATTGGTATTTATAACCAAAGTATATTATGTGTTTACAACAAAGCATATAGCTAGGGCAACAAATATAAAGAGAAAACAACTATATATTTAGTACGCGTCACTGGTATTTTGGTTGATTTTACGATTATGATAAGCGATGATTACAAAAAGTTTTATAAACATAACAGATATTAGAGTAATGTTTTGTTAGAACTACGGAATAACCCAGTAACCACTAACCGTACAGTGTGTGTGTATTGGTGTGTCAACAGACGACAACAGTCATTTCTCATTTCGCAATTTCGGTATTTCGCAATATTCGCATTTTCGCATTTTTATCATATACAAAGAAAATAATTTACTATTTAATAATTTAATTAATTATTAGTAAGTTTATTATTTACTTTTTGTATTAAGTGCGTTTACTGTATCGTGTTTAAAAGGTTATACCTACTATTCGAATAATGGCTCATCAGGATGTCAAAGATTTTTTGACAGCATGGAATTTACAACAATACATTCCTGTATTTGAAGGTAAGATTCATTTTATTAAATTAGTTAATGGCTAATATAGTAATATATTATTACATTAAAGATAATTGCCAATGCTGTCTGCTTATTAGTTATTTAGCTTAATTACTGACTTAACAAAATTGTCAGTGTAAAACACGTGCAACACGCTTCAACTTTCTCATATAGCACATTTTCAATTTTTTGTTTTTTTCTTATTGCTTATGCATTTAATATTATAACATTGAAATTATGTGTTTGTGATCAGCGTTAGCCCACCTTGCTAAAATACTTTTTCCTGGGTTTTCAATTTTTAGGGGCATGTCATGTAAAATTAAAATTCAGCTTTGTATGATATGACCACTCTATCACGCTTTGTTTCTCTAATATTAACTAATGTAGATATTTAGTGTTCATAATTTGAAACACTTATCCAAGTTTGTACAACATATTAGTTAATAATCCTCGATGGCTCGCATGAGAGTATTTCCTTCACATGTTTTTAAGTGAGGTTAGGTTAGGGTAGTTCAGCGGTGGCTGTCGTAGAGTACGGACGTCTCTCCCGAGCAATTTCAGTTTTTCTCGCGAAATACCTACCCGTTTTTTACGCAGTGTGTTTCAATCGACGCGTTACGTCGTCTCGCGTCGACCAATTCAAACCGCGCGCAAATCGGCCCAGTTTTAGCGGAGAAATCGCGTTTTTCCATCTACCGTGTGTTTTCGGCTACTGTATTACGCAGTCTCAGCCTTTACGTTAAAAAGTGCGCGTTCGGGCCGGTGTCGATTTCGAGTCGGCCTGATTAAGAACCACCGCACCCTCCCGAAGGGCTCGGTGCATCGTGCGCCCCCCACGGACCGAGCAATCTAGCAGGCAAGGTTCCCGCGCCGCCGGCGACTTCGCTGCCGAAGCACCAGCGCTACGTCCGCGCGCGGTGGCCAACGCGGCTCGAGCGGACCTATCCAGTAGGGATGTGTCGTTCGCGAACGACCCGTTCACTTTGAACGAATCGCGACAAAGATCCGAACTGATTCAGATCCGATGTAAAAATTGATTCGTTCAATAGTTTAATTGGCTCTTCTGATCAGTTGACTCAACTGTGAACTGATTAACTGACCCTATACCCGGTACCGTAGTTGTAGTGTAGACCCTATATACTGGTTCGTTACAGTATAGTTTCGGTCTGTCACACTCGTCACAATTTACAGTGTTTACATTGTACATACTTCACAGTACACAGTAACCATCAACCAGGCGAGCACTGATCAGTGAACACAATTGACAATAATATTATACACCAAGGGCGATAGACGTACGTCGTATTGTTCAGTGTTCTATGGTCGTACGACGATATCAGACATCAGTAGGTATTCAGTAATCACTAATCAGTAATCACAGTTTATCACTTAATCAGTATTTATTATTTATTATTTAATATTTATTATTATTTAGAATTTTAGAATCCACTATTTAATTTAATTTGCATTTTTACAAAATAATTTTGTAAAATAGTTTATAGTTATTACTTATTATTACATTAATACAGTAACAGTACCTTTTAAAAATTTACATTATTTACATTATTTTTTATGGTCTCTCAAGATCCGAATCTCAATAAAGGGAAATCAAAAATTGACACATTGGTATGTATTTTGTATAGGTATATTTAAACATGATACATCATATCATATTTAATTATTTAAACAAGTCATAATATTAATAAGAAAAAAAATAGCATTAGTAGTGTAGTATAAATACTTATTACCTACTGAAAACTGAACATAATTAATAAAATATTAATTAATATAAACAACTATTGTATAATAGGATAATAATAATAAATAATAATAATGAGTATGATAATAATAAATGTATAATAGTAGGTACCTATAATATAATATTATAAATCTTAAATACAAATAACAACTTGTTTACTTTACTTTAGATTACATTGAACAAATACAATTTTTTCAACCTTGTCAGTTGTCAAACGACTTCTAAAGTCAGTTAACACCTGACCTGCTTTAGAAAAGACTCTCTCACTCGGTACAGATGTTGCTGGTATACATAATCTCCTCTTTACAACTTCAAATAATCGTGGATAAATGTGTTTACGCTCTGACCACCACTGCAATGGGTCCATGCTGCGTGGTATTAGCGTCTCAGCTAAATATTTATCCAATTCTACTATTCCTGCAACAGTTGGATTATTTTGACCAATCAATGAATTTACTTTATTATCAAATGTTTTCCATAATAATGAAGTTGTTGCTGTTTGTGCCGTTTGTGGATTTGCAGTACTTGGGCCAGCTGCAGTGTTTTCAGTTCCAATTCGAATGCTTTGAAGTTTCCTACTAAGCACAGTTTTGGCCACTAAAAATTTGCTGTCCGAAGAAAACCCTTGTTTTTTGAAGCGAGGATCAAGAATAATGGATTGGGCTACAACATCTTTATCTTCAAGATTTCCAAAGTAAGCACGTAGAACATTTTGTATCTCGGTTGCCATTTTTTCAACTTCGTGCAATGTATCGTTTTTATAAATGTTTGATGTTAAATGTTCATCCAAAAATCCATAATATAAAACTACCTTTGAAATGGTTACTATTTTTTCAGCACTCACTTCTTCGGTGACATCATTGAAAATGGATAGAACGTTGCAGCACTGAGAAAGCAATTGCCATTCTTGGCTGGTAATGTTGTTCAGTTCATTATTTGTTACAGCCAAAGTTGCAAGTACAGAATCTTTCACCTTGAGAATCCTTTGGATCATGTGAAACGTGGAATTCCACCTGGTCTTACAATCCTGAATTAATTTAAGTTGTTCGCATCCCATTTGTTGTTGAAGATTTTTGAGCTAAAGTACTTCGTTTAAAATATTCAACAATACCTTTGACCTTTGCTATTATAGGATGAACTGATTCTAAACCTTTTTGTACAGCAATATTCAAGACATGGGCAAAACAAGAGATATGTCTCCAACCATTATTTTTAATTGCTGACTTGATATTTGCTGCATTATCTGTAACAGCAGCAGCTACCATATTTTCCAACCCCCAATCATTCACCACGCTCAAGAGAAATTTACTCAACTCGTCAGAAGTATGTCTCTCGGTAAAAGAAAAACAACCTAATAAACGAGAACATAATTGTGTATCTGAATTTATAAAGTGTACTGTAACTGACATGAAACTTTGATTGTTAGTAGATGTCCAGGCGTCTGTTGTGATACTCACAGCTGAAACATTTTGTACATCTAATTTCACTTTTTGATACACACTTTCATACATTTGCATCAACAAGCTATTTGCAACAGTTTTTCTTGTTGGAACTGTATAATTTGGCACAAGCATTTTTATTAACTTTCGAAACTCGACTTGTTCAACAAGAGAAAAAGGATGGAAATGCTTAACAATGAAACGAGTAATTTGTTGGTCGATAGCTTTAGATTTAGAAATGGAAATTGGCTTACTTGCTATTATGTAACTTGACATAGATGTTTGACTTGATAATGATGTGACTGTACTTACAACTGGCATACTTGAAGCAGAACTCACTGTAGCTGTTCTTTGAGTGGCCACCGAGGAAATATAATTTAAAAGAGTTGGTTGATTTTTAACGTTACTCGAAGAAGGTACATCGTCAATGTTCTTAGCGTTCTCGGCATTTGACGGAGTGACAGCAATAGGATCATCTTCATTTTCTTGAGCTAGTACAAAGTTGTCTCTTTGCTCCCTCAACTGTCTATTTAAATGTACACCAATATGTTTGGTCTTCAGGTGCCTTATTAAATTTCCTGTAGATCCTCCACTATAGCTAACTTCTTGGGGACAATAACCACATTTAGCTATCGTATTTGATTTTATACTAAAATGATTCCAAACACTACTTCTTTTACGATTCATTTTTAATTTTTTTATTTACTTTTGCAGGAATAAATATGAAATTGTCACAAGAATAAATAAATCAAAAGATTCGCTTAATGAATATTTTGTCAAATAAAAACACGGATTGTAGATGTTTTAAATATAGACAAAATATACAGTATCTATCTAAAAATATTTATGCTCCATTATTACCCATTATCATTTTTTCTATAATTGTACTGATATACCATTTTTATGTAAATCTCTTAGATAAAGAGATTATTTTTTTATAATTTATAATATCATATTATATTATGTATACAAACAAATGTGTGTTGACTTAATTTTTATCATTTTTTTTGATTAACCAGATCTAGTTAGTCTATACCAATTGTATAGTAACCTTATAATTATTTATATCTTGATATAAAAAAATTAAAAGTTATCATATGTTAAATGGGTAACTATATAAATATATAATTAAAGAAATTATAAACAAAAGTAATTTTATAATAACATTTTTTAATTGATAAAATCAATAATATTGTAAGTAGTTGTAAGTTTGTTACAATTAAATTATAAACTAATAATTAATAAAACAACAAATATATTTAGTAATTATGTCAACTATTTTCTATTAGTATTTAAGTGTATTACAGAAATAAAGCCCTGGGGCCCGGCCGCAATCGCGGCCTAGCTGCCGTTTTCGTATTTTCGTAATAACATTTTTTACTGTGTTGATTTGATTTTAACGTTTGTCGTTCAATAATTTTGGTACCTACTTCTGATAATAACGATAACTGTAATAAATATTTTTGGTAATGATACTGATATTTATGTAATGATATCATATTTATATTATTACTTTGCTTTGTACCATACTACTATAACATAGGCGTGCGCACGGGGTGTTCCGGGTGTGCCTGGGCACCCCCTGACATTTAATTGGGGCCCTAAAATATTTAATGTTTATTTGATGTTTAGCATTGTACCCGATACAAGTTGTTCATATGAACAGGTATATTTGAAATCAGTGGCGTGTTGACCGCGATTTTGAAGGGCAGGTGCCCGATAATTTTAATGGGTGGGTGGGTCGTGGGTGAGTGAGTTCTGGATTTAGTGAGAAATATTGTAGTACAAAACTAACTACATTTTAATATGATATATTATCCCCCCTGGATAAGCCACTGGGTGGTAGGTCAATCAAAAAATGAATTGCCCGATAAAATATTTCACTTCGCCACGCCACTGTTTGAAATTAAATATTGTGAATAGTAAATGAAGTAATGAAGTATCATGGCCAGAGGCCGTTTCGAATCATTAATTTTAATTTTTACGGAACAAGAAATGGCCTCTAATGTTGAAGTAGTTTTAGTTTTTACTTATTAATGAGTTTAATAATTTAAGTAATAGGCGCATATTATTATAAATCTATAACTGTTGTATTAGAATGTTAAATAAAACATGTAACTAAGTAAGTAATATTATTTTGTTCAATATAATTTACTAAAATATGTATTATGTACATGTCTTGTTAGGAGAGGGCCCAAGTTAAGAAAAGGGCCCAAAAATATTGTAGGAACCCCCCGAAATGCAGGTCTGCACTCTGCGCACGCCTATGTACCATAACCATTGTGTATGTACGAGACAGTGGGACACGTCTACTGTGTAGTATACTGCTGATTAGTGATTTTTTCGTTTGTGAATTAAATTTGAAATGTTGGTTATACTGAGTCAAGAGTCACCGAATCAAACACTGATAGCTGATTCGACTCGTTCAATTCACTTCAAAGAACTCATGAGCTACACGTCTGTAAATGATCTAGTGGGGTTTTTCAAGATTCGAATCAACACGAACGAATCTTTTAACCGAATCTTTTTAGTGAACTGATTCAAATGATCCGAATCACGAAAATGACCGGGTCTTCCCATCCCTACTGTGGTGCGGTATGGCTACAGTCGGGTAGTGGTATTAACACTATTTTTGAACGCTGCCGCTAGTGTCAGTAGAGTAGCACATGACGGCTGTAAAATCGTGTTTTTCTTACCGAAAACATGGTTTCATACTTCCCATTTTCCTCAGCTCTCATTAATCGTAGAAACATGATTCTTTCACCAAAATAAACGTGAGAAGTTTATCTAGGTTTGTCGTTCCAGATTTTAGATATCTTTTTTTGTCTATTTTATATGATTTTTTAAAAATTTTGAAAATTTTGAAAATTTCAAATGCAAATATAATCGGTTTAAAAAAAAAATTCGAAAATCTGGAACAACAAAACCTAGATAAACTTCTCACGTTTATTTTGGTGAAAAAATCATGTTTCTACGACTAACGAGAGCTGAGGAAAATGGGAAGTACGAAACCATGTTTTTAAGGCCGAATTTTCGTACCAGAACGGCCTTAACGTTAAACGAAATATGAATCAAACATCCATTGTTACCTTTGTACTTTGCAATCTCTCTATTTTGCTGTTATCAACTTCTACCGCGGATGGGGCTTGTAAAGTTTGTAATGTTATAGAATATTAATTATAATCTTTATTCTTTTCAACGACACATATCAACATCACGTCACTAACACCAGCATTACCATTTATAACTAGGACCATTTTATACCACCATTAATAATCTTATGTTAATATGAATTTCTTTCCCTTTATTTTATCATTTAATCATTGATAAATGAGTCGCAAAATGGTGGCATAGCATACCCATTATACGTAGAACCTTAGTATAACTTAACCAATCTGTAAATAAGTTGTCCGGTAGTGCAAGTGACTCGCTTATCAATCTACGGTGTTTTGATAAATAATAAACATGCATTTTTTTTTTGAAATTTATACTCAAAACCGGTACATAGCCAAAATTAATTATTTACGATTATTTTTTAAACACTATATGATACGGCCAATTGGGGGGCATGGCCCCTGTGCCCCACCCAGGCTACGCCAGTTTACTCAGTTCAGGTTAAGATTGAACAGCGTCACCCATGCAGACTGAGCCGCCGAACAGTGCCTGACCCCCCCCCCCCATGCGATGGCTATGCGTTCTGTGATTGGGTTGATGTTTTCTGCGTTCTGTGTTATCGCCAGCCGTCGTTTTGGTCGAGCGAGGGCTTCGGCGGTCATCAAAACCGCACACTTACCGTTCATAACCACACATTTTACGTCGTTCAATACCGCACACATTTATTCTATTGTTAAAAAGTGAAATTTGGAAGATCGATATTTCAAAACCGCACACATTTGATTGACAGTTAAAAATTGAACATATTTTATTGTTATTAGGTAATTAAAAAAATAATTTACTATTAATTAAAAATCGTAATACAAAATAATTCGATATATAATTAAATTGAAATAAACTTACATCCTAATGTTTTTAAATAATCAATCAAGCTAATTTCGTTGTTAATGAAACGATCATACACATTTAAAATAGATTTCTCCACAAAGATCTAAATATTCCATCGCTCTCTCAATTAACAAAGTCTCACTACGTCTCCTTTCATTCCAAGTTAATCGAACATTACAATCCATTAATAAAACGCATATCTTCTCTAACAATCCCTGATAACCCCCAGAGACGTTTAAAACGCTCCTGGCCTAGAGACCTTCTAATTTAATCTGTCGGGTGGCACTACTGAGTGCCCTCCCCCATCTGTTATTCTCGATATGTAATACTATATCTAAATTACTTATTGTACTAAATTGTTGTATAGATTGTAATTATATTTTAAATAAAAATAAAAAAAATATTATAAATTAAAACTTCAATTACAATGTTATTTTAAATTTTATCATCAGGTGTTAGAATATTATAAGCACTATTATCTTCCATAACCTCGTTGGTTTGGTCTGCCATAGCTTAAATCTAAAATGCTATACATTAAGCACTAAAAGAAGCGTCAACGACAAGCACCTGTGTAATTAAAGTTAAAATAATATAATCAATAATAAACATTAAAACTAATATGTACAAAAATATAGTTAATTAAAAAATTACTATAGATTAAGATAAAATTCCTTTGAACGAATCATCAATTTTCTTGATGCAGTTTTTATGATGATTATAAACAAATTATGTTTATAAGCTTTAAAATTAGTATGTACAAAAATATAGTTAAAAAATTATCATAGATTAGGAAAAAAATTCCTTTAAGCGAATTATCAAGTTTCCGGTTGCAGTTTTTATGATGTTTATAGGTGGACCACTAAATTCATTGATATTGTTTATTTTACAATCATTGACTACTGTTTTTTTCATCAATTTCAAAAGCTTCAAAATGTTCATGAAAGTCTAAAATTTGGATTTGTTTAGATACTATAAAAATATTGGAATAATCATTTACAACTATTATCTCTGAAATTTCAAACAAACACATTTCATCAATCAATTTTGTTAAACATTAACCTCTTTTATATACAGTTTCCATGTATTCAACTTGGCTGTAGCACTTATACGTTGTTAATGGAATATACCTAAATTGTGTTTAATATTGCATCATAATGAAGTGTACAAATACAATATAAATAATAAAACACATTTTAGCCAAATCTTAAGAATAATTTTGAATATTGCACATAACTGATGCATCTTCTTCATAAAGCTCATTTGCTACAGATTTATGGATTTTACAAAATCTACAATAATAGTTTGCAGAAAACTATTTACTGAATTCTAGTAAACTAGGTATTTAATCCTAAATTGTCACCTAACACCAGGCCAAGTAGGAAATGTACACGAAAATCGCCATGTTCAGTAGATGTGTTCAATCCAATGTTTTCAAGTTCATTTAATTCATTTATTAAAATTTTAAAACATTTATCATTTCCAAACTCTTTAATATCAATAGATTTTATTAGTAAAAATACTTGAGAGCTTAGGATTATTTGTAGCAAGCGGAAAGTTATAATATACAGCAGCAATTGATTGAACATATGCATGTGAGCCTAGGGGGTTATTCACTTCAAATTCATCCACATATAAGAAGTATGGAAATACTATTTTACCCTCATATACCTAATGTTATTTTTTCT